GCCCCTTGGCGGAGCTCACCTCTGTGACTAGGCAACACCATTTCCACTCTGGCTGAGAAAGAGGGGTGAGGACAGACTTAACGTTCCTTAGTCTTTCCGCACGGGCATGCGGTCAGGGGGCAGTTCCAGGCACATGGCTCACTGGAGTCCTGTTTTGAGTCATCTCTTCTGTTACATCTAACGATGTGATTCTCCCATGCAGGCTGGTCAAGAATTCATGTGTTAGCTGAAACCGGTTTTGCTCAGTGGATAGAGCATTGGCCTGTGGACTGAAGGATCTGGGGTTCGATTCCTGTCAAGGGCATGTACCTTGGTTGCGGGCACATCCCCAGTGGGGGTAATGCAGGAGGCAGCTGATGGATGATTCTCTCTCATAGATATTTCTAACTCTCTATCCCTCTCTCTTCCTCTCTGTAAAAAATCAATAAAATATTTAATAAAAATTAAAAAAAAAAGAATTCATGTATTAAAACCTTTGCCAGGACTGTCTGTTTTTCTGTGCCCCAGGACCTGAATTCAAATCAAGGTTCTCTTCACTGCCAGGAAAATTTGGGCTTAATATCGGCCACTAAAGGTTTTTGTAACTCAGGTTGTTCAGAATTCAAAGTAGAATTAAACACATATTCATGGAATTCTGTATCTACACGAGTTTCCAGTTTGGGTTTGGCCATTATCTCCTGGAAGACGGACTGGAAGAGTGACCCAATTCTCCAGCAGGAATTCATTCTGTCCTCAGAGGAAAGAAAGGACAGGCCTTTCCACAAGACTACAACTCTCATGTAGTTAGTCACTCCAACAAAGCAGGACCAGAGTTGGTATGAAGACAAATTCATAACTAAATTATAGATTCCTGCAGTGAAGTGAGAGGACAGGCAGTGCTCCCCATTTATATTCTAATCTGGTCCGAGGACAAGTCAGCGGTCCTCCATGAGAGTGTGCCCTGCATTCAGATGTGTTCGTGTTTGGGGGTGGGGTGGATTTTTTGGTTGGCACAAATGACTGGGGTTTGTACTGACACCAGGCAGGAAATGTTTCATATCATATTGGACATTTGCACACAATAAAAATTGTCCCATCTGAAATATTAATTACATGGGTATAGAGGGACTTAACCCAGAAGGTTAATCCATATATTCTCATCTGCCTCCTCTGTGCTCATCTTGCCTGAGTGTGAGTCCCCCAGGGCACAGGGATCTTGGAGGGCCAGACTAGAACTATTCCTAAGTACTAGTCACATCATTACTAAATTATGTCAAAATGTATTTATTTGTTTACTCATTTATTCAGTAAGTATTTGTTGAGCAGCTCCTATGTGTGAGACACTGTTATAGGTACTAGGAATATAGCAGTAATTAAAGAAAAACACCTGTTCAACATTGTTTTGAGGGGGAAGAGGTGTAAAGGACAATGACAAAATTCTCCTTTATATCTAAATAAAGGAGCTAGGAATTACATAAATTTGTAAATAAAAAGGAGAGAGCACTTTCATTTTACAAATGGAGAAACTGAGGCCCAGAGAGGTTCCGAGCTTGTTGAAGATCACACTGTAGCACAATGGCAGGGTTGGAGCACATACATGCCAGTTACCTGTAGTTTTTCCAGTACTTTGTTGCTCTGTATTTTATATCTATCTCCACGAGGGAGGGCATCAAACACTCAAGAATGAGCCCGGTCAGTGTGGGTTCAGTGCTTGAGCATCGACCTATACCAGTAAACTAGGAGGTCACTAGCTCAATTCCCAGTCAAGGCACATGCCCATTTCTGAGCTTGATCCCCAGTAGAGGGAGGGCAAGAGGCAGCCAATCAATGATCCTCTCTCATAATTGATGTTTTTTTCTCTCTCTCTCCCTCTCCTTCCTCTCTGAAATCAATAAAAATATGTTTAAAAACTCAAGATAATCACCCTGCCTTTGGTTCATGAAGCCTAGGCTTGCTTAATGATAGATAGTTCCCCAAACTAACCTTAACAGTTGTAATAATGAATGAACAGCTAAGGAGGTGAATGATTATAAAGCAGTCTCTTAAAATTTTTGAATCATTCCAATTCAACAGATATTTCTTGAGCATCTACTGTGTGCCAGGTTCTCTACTATCTGCTTTGAATGATTCCAAGACAAATGGACTCTTATTCCTACCCTCAGGTCAGTTACTGTGGTGAAAGAGACAGATGGTATGCAACTGCAATGCTGGACAGAGTATGATAAATGCCATAATAAAATCATAAAGACCTGCGGGAGCAGAGAGGGAGAGATGAATAGCAGCCCCACCATAAAATGTTTCCTTACATCCCCAAATAGAATTCAAAATGGAACTTGAGAGATGAAGGAATGTTAATAGAGGGGAAGAGATCTGCTTCAGCTTCTCAGCCAAGGTGACAATCTCCTGTAAGTCAAAGGAAAGGTCTGAGGCCCAGAGATGACAAAAAGCAAGGCAAGGCATGTTTTTGGCCACAGTTAGGCGGTCTGGCTCTGACAACCCATTGAGAATCATTTGTACATTAGTATGAATTTCAGGATGTCAGTAATAACAATAAACAACAATTATGGCCACTGCAGTTACTAAGCATGCACTGTACATCAGGAGCTAAACTCTTCACATCACACATTAGGTATCTCATTGAAAGCTCATAAAAACCCTTTGAAATAGATGCTGCTATCATCCTCATGTTTCTGGGGGGAAAGTGTGCTTTAGAGGGGGCATGTCACATGTCTGAGGTCAAACCCATAATAAGTGTCAGGGCCACGCTTGAAATCTAGGGTTTGCTGGCTCCAGCCAACACTGTCCCAGGGCATGGTGATATGATAAATCCTTTTCTTCACAGTTGTGACATTCATTCTTGTCAACATTTAAGAAGAAAATAAAAAGTAGTGTTTCTCAAAATGACTATTTAGCCAACTTGGCTGAACAAAATCCTACCGCGGTCACAGATCCTTAAGATCCCGGGCTACCATTACCAACTCCAAAGTGGCATTTGGCACATGGCTAACAGACTACTGGCCTGACTAGTCAGTAGTCTATTAGCCATAGTGTCTTTATTCAAACCGGTCCCTAAGATTCTAAAAGTCACTCCACACCGTAGGTCAGGGCATTGGAAAATATTACACCAAAGATTTCATTAGTTCAGTTCCTGTTTCTTCTTCAAGACCCATGTCAACTCTTCAGCATCTATGGCACCTCCCCCTGATCACAACATCCTACCTCTTCACAGTTTCAGCCTCACAGTTCCCACTTCTCATATCATTTATTTGGCACTTGCTCCAGGAAGATTTCTATCTCTCGTCACCATGTCTACTTGATTCTATTTCATCACACAAGGGAGCAAATCATATGAAAACCAATGCTTCTAATGTCCCCTCAATTCTCACAGTTTCCCCTCCCCAAACAAGGAAGACTTATTGGACTGGTGGGAAGGGGACAGGGTCACTGTTTCATTCCCCTTGGGATGAGTCAAATGTGAATAGAATAATAGGGAGACTCAGCCTATTATTAGAACCAAACCCTGGTTTCCCTATGAGGAGGGCCAGCAGACCCTGCAGCTAGACCCACATTTCTCTCACTTGCCAGTTCATTGTCTCCAGTTCAACTCCATTCTTTAAAAGTCCTCTGGTGAATCCAAAACCAGTTTGGTTCAGTGGATAGAGCGTCGGCCTGTGGACTGAAGGGTCCCGGGTTTGATTCCAGTCAAGGGCATGTACATTGGTTGCGGGCACATCCCCAGTGGGAGGGGAGGTGCAGGAGGCAGCTGGTCAATGTTTCTCTCTCATCGATGTTTCTAACTCTCTATCCCTCTCCCTTCCTCTCTGTGAAAAATCAATAAAATATATTTTAAAAATAAATAAATAAATAAATAAATAAATAAACAAACAAACAAACGTCCTCTGTTAAAATTTCTAAGTAGGGAATTTCTCTACTTAAGACTAAAAGAAGTACAGATTGCTATAAGCTTCCTAAGCCAACCTGTTAGTTCTGCAGGTTTAAGCCCACTTCCTTTTAACTTAGCTTTTTAAAGAATTTTGTAACAGCAGATTATTCAGACTCAGCAAACTGGCACCTACTGTTTTAATACAGCCTCATCAATTTCCCAATTTTATTGGTCAGCCTAAGGCGAAATTGGTCAATCTAAGGGGAAATCATCCTTAAGGGATGCTTATTACAAAATAATGGAACCTACAGCCCAGCTTCCTGATGGAGAGACAACCTGGGTCCTCATTTATAGGTAGGTATTATTTCCTTCATTTTATAAATAGGGAAACTGAGGCTCAGGTTAATGAATTCTCTTACAGTAGTGCTGAGATTCAAATCCAGGTTTGTCTGATTCCCAAGTTCATTTGTGTGTGCATTCATCCCCAAAAGATTTTCCTCATTAAATTAGGGAGCACACAGAACATTTGTCTACCCACCTCTCTTTCCCTAAGCCAGATCTTGTCTACATCGATTGACCTAGTACTTGACAATATGATATTCCCCAGTTGTTTGGTGAGGATGTTGGAAATGGGAAAAGTTGGCAACTTTAACTCATTGCCTAATTTGAAAGATTTCACATCATAGAAAAATTCTTAAGTCTTTTCTCTGTTGGTATATTGACACAGCAGTAGAGTTACTTGTGGGTAAGAATTCTACTGGGTGAGAGGATGAATTGCACAGACACCACTTGGGCATATTTCTTCAGGTCCTAGAAAGACCATTTGTCAGCATGGACACTGCTCTTCCCACCCACTCAAAGACCTCCATATGCCATGGCGACCTCAGCAGTCAATCACTAGGAGCTCTATGCACCAGGTGAGCCTAGACATACAATAGGACAACCCAGAAGATGTCTTCAATTGTATTAGACTGATTTACTACTTTTGATCATCGAGAAAAAAATAAGATTTAGGAAATTTTCCTTGTGTAAAAGACAAAACCCAAATAGGAAAACAAACACCCAAAGAAACCCTGGAATGTCCCCTGACATTCATTCTGCCTCGATCAACAAGTCTTTATTTCATTGCGCTCCTTACCTCCTAATCTTGGAACTGTTCCTTTGAAGAATAACGTGGTCAGCTTTAATGTCGTAGGAAAAAACTCTTTGGCCTGAAAACCCTTCTCCAGGTGTAGAGATCTAGAGTGAGGGCACCTTGATGTTGTCATCCCTGAGTGAGAGAGTGATAAGGGGATCAGTGGAAAAGCTGTCAAGTGACAGTTTTAAATAAACAGAGGCAGAACTCTCACATGAGGAAATGAAAGTCATTCAGAGCCCTTTTCACAAATGACAGGGTCCTTTCCTTCGGTACCTCAAAGTCAGAGTAAAAGCTCCTTCCACTCCATGTCTAGGTCATTGTTAAGCTGACACTGATTATTTACTGTTTTATCCTTGCCTCTGAATATCAGCTTTTATCCTCAAATACGAAAGCAACAGAGAAGGGAATTAACTGAACAGAATGCCTGCTCTACATGAACGTCGTTTTACATGGGTGTTTCACATTCATTTTCTCATCTGATTTAACTAAGTGTTCGACCTCCACCCATTTTATGGGTGATAAAACTGAGTCATATGGAGCTTATGTGACTGAGTCAGGATCACACAGCCTGTAAGTGGCAGATCTGAGACTCACATTCACTGTTTGCTCCAGAATCTGTCCTTTGTCATCACATCAGTGTCTTGTTTTGCTTGGTTTGAACAAATTTACCAGAATTTAGTCAACAAAATAAGCTCTGCCTTTCTGTGGATGAAAATAATCTGCCTCCAAAGATTTGTAAGGATCAAATAAAATAAACCTGAAAGCCCCTGAGAGCAAGGTACTCCCCTAGAAAGCCAGCCTCCTGCTCTACAAGGGTCCCCTGGCCAATGATGGCCCAGGCTACACTTCTAGAACAATCTTCTGAGGTCGCTGGAAGTCCCATAAGCCTTATCACTGCACTTCTACACCCTGTGGTTAACCCAAACCATTGTAACGTACTTCTAATTATCAGCTTGATTCCCAGACTTGCTCTGAACAAACTTATACATGTAAAAGAAAGAAAGAACTTAAATTATCTTTTAAAATAAGAACAGGTCACTACTGAAGCTATTCAAGGATAACTTGCTGACTGGATTGTAAGAGGCTCTCCAACAGGATTCCCAGCAAAGAGGTCATCACTGGGATTACACTGGTCTTCTGAGTAAACTGCCATAAAGGGAACTGCTTTCGTCTGCACGGGTGTTTTAATGTTTCATAAAATCAATCTTATTACCCTATACTGATGCCTCCAGGGAAACAGCAAGAACGCCGTGCCTGGAATGTGATTATCAGGGTACTTTACTTTGATGGAGAATCTACGTTAATGAATCAGCGTGGGCTGCCATAAAATATCATCGATTGGGCGGATTAAACAACAGACATTTATTTCTCACAGTTCTGGAGGAGGCTGTAGGTCTAGACCAAGTGCCAGCTGATTTGGTTTCCAGTGACTATTCTCTGTCTGCACTGCAGATGGCTACCTTTGTACTATGTCCTCACAAGGTGGAGAGAGAGAGAGAGAGAGAGAGAGAGAGAGAGAGAGAGAGAGAGAGAGAGAGAGAGAGAGAGGTCATCTTTCTTATAAGTTCTGCTGCATTATGGCCCCCCTGTTATTACCTCCTTTAATGTTAATTACCCCCTAAGACTCTATCTGTAGATACACTCACATATTGGGTATTAAGCCTTTAGCATGTGAATTTGGTGAGGGGTTAAGGGAGGGGAGGGCACAATGTATTGTAGTTTATAACAACATGTTATAGTATTTTAAGCTCATTGTCCTCCTTTAATCAAGAATTTTTTTTTTCCAATGGCTTTTGAATTTTGGATCCTGCAAACGCATTCACTGACCTCAGGGTTGGACTATTAATTGGCAAGATATTCCATCCTGATATTTTTTTGCTTTCACATATTTCCTAAAAGATATATATCTGACAATGAACTATCAATATCACCGTTGTCTTTACATTGGATATTATTAATATTTGCTTTCTAATGCCACAATCTGGGTGTACCGTAAGAACAAAGGCGCTTATTTTCTGGAGCACCGCCTCTCTTAAGGCAAGAAGACGCAGAGGAAAGAGGTGCAAATTGCCAAGAAGTTATCAATTTTTCTTTGCGGCCTCCCTTGTTGATGTCAGCATTGGCTCCCTGGCCCCAAGCTAACAAAATCACTGGTCTTGGAGCTTCCCCAAGCATGAAAAGCTATAACAATAATCTGGCCTAACTAAAGTTGGAGATACAAGAGTTGATTAAGATTAATTTCCTAATTTAAAAATTACTTTGGTGGGGTGGGAAAGGGCACTTTAGTCCTGTGACCTCGACACACTCCCAGGCCCCACGCATGACCGATCTGATTACTGTGGCCGGCCTGCCCATATGTGTTTATGTCAGCACGGGGGCACCGGGGAGTGAGGCAGAGACGGCGGCCTGCCCTGCCACCATGGTTCACCCTCTGGTTACATTTCCCTCCGGAGAAAAGATGAGAATCATCATCCCCACTTCATTCCTCCTCTGAGATGACCTGCTCCTCCCTCTGACCAGCCGACCAGCAAGAAACATCTGCAGCTCAAAAGAAACATACAAATAGCTGCACTCTGGATTAAGGGTCAATAGACTTCCTGATGGAGGAGATCCTCTCCGCTTACGGGGTGTCTGGCTGCTTTTGCACGCCGCTGCTAGGAGCTCCATGCTTCCTCCCTCGTCCTGCCGTTATATTCGGCCCCACGTGTGCGGAGCATCGGCAAGATGTCCACTGTATCCCCCCCTTGACTCCCATTGTCCCCCGACACACACCAGGCCCTTCTCTGGGCTTCCCTTTGCAAAGCCCAAGAGAAGGCTGCAGAGGAGGACAACAGCTGTGGTGCTGGATTGTTCTTGACAAATGGGCCTGTCACTCTTCCTATTGATTAGCAATATTATGACATTTCCTTTCAAAAACGCAGATGTGGCAGGGCGAGTGACAAGGCCAGGGCTCTGGGTAGAAAACAAGGTTGGCCATGGTCAGCTCTTCCCCTCTACCTCTGTTCAGCTTCAGAGGGATGAGGAAACTGAGGTTCCCAGGGTGTTCAACAGATCTGAAAAAGTAGAGGTTCCGACACTTAGAAACTGACGTGAACGAGGCACCACTGTGTATCAGGGAAGAGAGCACAGGGGAGAGAGCACAGGGGAGATGTGTCCGGGAAACTGCAGAACGCAAGGGGGCGTTCCAGGAGATGAGGAAACGGGCCTCCCTCTGTCTTGGCAGAGTCACTCCTCAAGGCTCTTGACTTCATCAATCAAGCCATGGAGAGGCCTGTCACGTCGTCCCTTTGCTCGAAATGCATGAAGGAATGAGCGAGGTGGAGGTTCACCGCCTTCTCTCCTCCCAAAGTGTCTTTCATCTTCTCATCCTGACCCCGTGGGGCTGACAGTGCATTAAGGAGGGACATGCTCCTAATTCCGCCTTCTTTCCCGTGTACAAAGCACTCGGGTGATAGCATGTGCCTACTTTAATTTGGGAAACTTCCACAGGCACTTCCCCCCAGCCTAGCCCCAACATCCATTTCCATGTCAAGGGAAGGAAAGTGTTCTGAATAGCAGTCCATTTAAGAAAAAAAATTTTTTTTTTTAAATGGAAAAGTGCATCTTGCAGTCCAACATATGGTACATGTTGAGGTAAATTACAGGTAATTCATGAACATTTCCAGCAGCGAGATGGCCATCGTGGGACTCTCGTAGATCCATTACCTTCTCTTCTCATTTTTGCGGTTAGAGGCATCTCTCAAGCCTTTGAAGCGGAAAAGGCAGCCCTCGCTCCGCACCGTTCTGTCCTGCTAAGGAAAGTTATTATCCTGCGAACACACGGGACTGATCCAGCAACTTGATTTAGGCAAAGCTGATGGAAAGCAGGCTGCAAGGGGACATGTGTAGTACGGGTTTTACAATGTGAAAGATCTGGGGGTTGGCAAGCGCAACAGTTAAATCGGAAAATAAAATTTGAGCAAACTCAAAACAGTCGGGCCAACACTATTGGATGAAAGAGAAAAGAAGAGAGGAAGTCACTTGGGGGATGGGGAGAAGAAACCAAAGGAAGAAAAATGCTGCCTGCTAGCCCCGGGGTGGTGATGTAAATTAATATGAGCTAAATGGGATGTGACCAATTTGTAAGGCATTTGTTTCCCTCTCCGCGGGGGTCACCTTAGGCAACCCTCTCACCCCCACCCTCGTCACTGTGCCGGTGTTGACCACCTCTCCTCATACACAGAACCTTTCGTGGCCCCTGTGACATCCCAAGTCCAAGAGCCTTGAACATTGACTCCTGCGACACTGATGTTCCTCTTCTTGGAATAAAGCCTACATGTTGGATCCTGGGTCTCTGGGAAAGATGAAGGGGAAGGGGAGCAGGGGAGAAAGGAAAAACAAAACAAGCTTTTGGTGCACTGGCCCCTCAGCATTGTTGGAGCAGCCTTTGTGTCTGGACCGCCTGCAAGAATTACGCAATTTCCAACATCTCCTTCACATCAAAGAGCCTCGGGAGGAGCTCTCCAAGCTCTGAGGCTGAGCTGCCCTGCACCTCCCCTACCCGCATCCTAAATCAGGCTTTTATCTGCCTTCCCATCGGAACTGATGCTAAGTGTCCCTGACACACACATCCTCCAAATAATTTGAACTTGATCTGAGGCTTTCGGCCCTCTTGACTGAAAAAAAAAAAAAAAAAAAAAATTGCCTATGATTTGCTTGGCAGCCATCCACCTCAGCATAGGCAATTGTGGACAGAGATGTTGATGTTCATGAAGGAGCAGTTGCCAAGGCAACGCAGAGTTCAAAGGAAGGGCCCTTGGTGGTATCAGAACAGGGGAGAGTGATCATGTAATGAAGGCTTGTGTCTTCTCAGGCAGGGATAGGAGCTGGCCAAGTGGTGGGGAGAAGGGGGGCAGCAATTCACATTAGTTATGTCTGAAATATGCATTTATTTGGTATTCTGGACATCTACTAGCTTGAATGCATGATAGGGATTTTGAAGACTGTATCTGGCCTTGGCTCTATAGTAAATAGTTGAACGACCTTACCCCTGTTGCTCATTAGTTTCCTCATCTATAAAATGAAGAGATTGGGCTAATAAAATCCAACATACTTTCCATTGCTAGAATGTTCTGACTCTATTACTCTA